GATTCGGCTATGGTTATCTTAACACTTGTCTCTGTTTGACATTCAAAAGAACATTTACAAAAATGTTGCTTCAAAACGGCCCATCAACAAATCCTCCATTTGTGATTATTTACCTCAATCTGTGATTATTTGGGCTAAATGTTAACAGAAAAAAGAAAAAAAGGACTTGTTCTTTAGGTCTTCTTTTGGGCTTCAAAGTCCAATTAACTAAAATGACTCAACCCGAAATAAACCGGATGGACATGGATCTTCCGGTTTAAATTATTTAACCACATTCCAAATAGGAAGCAAATAACACGATTTTCTAGGTAATAATATTTTTTTTGTTTAAAACTAGACACTGTTGAGATATTTATCAATAATTATATTCTAAATTGTGTTATTCTTTTCGTAACAAACAAATGAATTTTTGATAAATTAACGAGGATCTGCGGCCAACTGGTTTGTTCCGGTCTAAACCTAACCGAACTCACCAATCCCCCTATCTTTATAAAAATCAAGGATAGGTCCCGAAAGAAGCTAATAATTAAATAAAAGCAATAATACATTAAAAAAGATTATTGTTTTGGCCGGCCAAAGTTGAGTCGGCTCAATTGACCGACTCCAAAATCGCTCCCACAACTTCACGCTGTTCCTATCGTCATATCACACGTGTCATTTTCTTATTGATTAACATTTCTTATAACACGTGGATTCTTGCCTTCTTTGTCCTCAATATCAAAACTACATTTATTTATGATTTTTATTTCCATACATGCCCTTACCTCACCTAATATTATCATTACTAGGCAGATATCCACGCGTTACGCGGAACATGAATAAATAAAATAATATTTTCAAATTATAAAATTAAACTATTACATTCAACACACTATCCATTATTTATTTTAGTTAACTATCTATTATACACACATAACATTCTAGGATATATGCCATGATATATTAAATCTTTTTAGTTAGATCTAGAAAACAGATCTTTAAAACCTAAAATGAAAGCCTAAACTTCGGTAAATTTACATATATAAGATGTAATTTTTTATTCATTTTGAAGGTAACCAATTCTTTTTTATTATACTTCAACTTTTTGTTCACTATCATTGTTACTTCTTTTCCAATACCCTCATCTAAAACGATAAATAGAGCATAAACCCTAAATCCTATCATCAAAGCCTAAATCCAATAACAAACCCATACAATTTGATATTTTTTAGTAACCTTTCGCTATCAAAATCTTTGGTTAGAGATGTTAAACCTAGCATGAACGTCTAAACCCTAAACATGCATATAATAAGTAGAAATTATTTGATTTTTACGTTAAAGGATTCAAGTCGTCGATCGTCATGGTCTTTCCTCTAGCAACAAACATCAATAAGATGTTTACGTTTTGTCATTTCATTGAACAACTTGAACGTTGATAATAGTAAAATCCAGCAATGATAATCTCAAAAGAAAATATTCTCGTCCTTTCGACAAAAAAAAAAGGAAAGAATATTTGTGTTATGTGTTTTTTTTTACATACATAGCTTTTGCCATATTTTCGCCATGAGGAAGAAAGACAAAAAAAAACAATGCTGCTAAACTGAAGATCTATTGGTGCTTCCAAAGCCTTTTAGCAACCTTGAATCCAAAAATACTAAAACTTTTAAGTTTCCATCAAATTAACCATACATA